CTTCAAAGATTGCTTTCTTAGTAACATATCACGTCTATCTGTTTTACCACTTTTTCATATCTTTTATCTAGATACAGGAGTTAATTGAAGAAAGCTAAGCAGTGTAATTGCATTGGAACATCAGAATGATCTATTCTTTTGAAGCAGAACTGAATATCTAGCTATAGTTATTAAACTCCAAGTGTATCTGACCCATTGGCATATAATAGCATAGATCTCATCACTTTATCATGTGGAAGGATTGATTCCAATTTAGAAGTTTAAACTTTGCTTACTATACATTTACCTTTTACTAATGTTAATTAGCTAATTTGTAAGACACAGATAAGCTATAATTATCATAGTGTTTTGATACTTTATTTCTCACAACAGGAAGATGATTAACTTCAAAAATAATAAATGATTTAAATCAATGTTAGGCTCTAGATTATAGTTGTTGAGTTGTGAATGAGTAAAGTTAACTAATCCCTATTTGCATGTGCCAATTAGTTAAGTATTAATCAATTTCCTATATAAATGGAAATGAGGATACCAGGATTATTTGGTAAGATAATGTTTCTCATTAACACAAACATGACCTCTGACATTTAAAAAAATGGTCTTCTTTCTCATTTCTTTTTTACATTTTTCTTCAAAATATAGTATTTCTTTATGCATATAAAATTGTACATCCTAATACATTTATAGATTTTCCTTTCCTGGTTTTCATAAAATAATAATGATTAAAAATAACTATAAAAGTTGCTGAATGGAGCTAGTCCACTTATGAAATAATTTTAAGCATCAAAACTCAATTTTGTATTTAAGATATAGGAAAGAAAAGTAAGGAGAAGCTAAAACATTCAGATGAACTATACTCTAATGAATTTACCTATTCTCTCTTACTTATTATTTATCACATATATATGTAGTATGCCCAGATTTATATGTTTAATTTATTTATTTAAAACAAATATTTGAGTTTAAAAACCAATGAAGTGAGTCAAAGTATTGATATTTAAGAGGTGTTTTAAATGTAAAATATAGGATAGAAATTTAAATGTGACTTATATATGTGAATAAAAGGTAAGGTAAAGGCCCTCCCATTGTTCATCGATTTGCTCGAGCAGGCCCAGTAATGTCTCCATTGGAGATTTTGTTGTCACTGTGTTTGGCATATCGAATACATCACGGGTGGCTTGCCAGGCTCTGCTGTGTGGGCGAGATACTCTCGGTAGCTTGCCGGGCTCTCCGAGAGGGGCGGAGGAATCGAACTCGGGTCGGCCATGTTGGCTGCGTGCAAGGCAAACGCCCTACCGCTGTGCTATCGCTCAGTGGTAGGGCGTTTGCCTTGCACGCAGTCAACATATATGTGAATATTTTTTAAAAAATTCCTCCAAAGAAATTTCTCTTTGGAGCTCATTTTCACACAACTCATGGCTGACCAACATGAAATTTGCAGATACAAGAATATATCAACATTTCCTATTAGCGGAAGTCCTCTGGGGTGTACTCACTCCATGGAAACCTGGCACTTTATAATCATATTACTACACCCATAAAATTCAATTAAAAAGTATTACTGTTGAAGTTGAGAAATTAAAACAAAACTTGGGAATGTGATTAGTGTGGGAAATATTGTATTAGATTGAATAGGTTAGTGGTGTGTTTTTGTGCCTTATTACTATAAATTTTTAGTACTAGCTAAACTATTGGTTTGGTTTCCTTTCCCCTGCTAATCCCCCTCTCCCAGCCTTTATAAAGAGCAATGTCAGTGTGATCATCTAGAATTTTGGTATTTTTTGTTTGTTTCCTGCTTTCTCCATCATGAACAGTTCTACTGGGAATCCAAGCACATGGTTTTTTTTTTTTTTTGTCTTCTTGTTTGTTTATATCACTTTCAAATAGATGGTTGGACTTCTTTCAGTTCCATAAAGTCTGTGAGATATCTTATTTCCTTGTAACTGTATCTTTAATTGCCATTATTCTAAGTTTAAAAAATCTTTATTTATAAGTTATCCTATATTTCCTTAAATATTAAAGGTAGAAATCAGGAGACCCTTTAAATATTTGCATATAGTCAATATGAATTTCCTCTTCCTTGACTCCCTTTCCCCCCAAGTGTTTTAAACATATGTAAAACTGGAAAAACAATTTGTGGTCAGTATAAAGATCCCTCAATTCAGAATAAGATTTGAATCCAGATGTTTTTCTTAGTCATAGAATATAGTAATCAACTCTTAACACTTGTGTTACCCCCTTTTTGGATTGAGTACCTAAGCTTATTCTTTTTTATTTTGGCTAAGATAAAGAATCATCTACGTCATGAAATGATCCATGAACCTACAAAAGAGGTTTCTTGAAGAACTCTCACATATAATTTGATGCCAGCATATATTTTATAATGTCACCAATGTCAAATAAATTTTTTCTAAGGTATATCCAGACTTTTCCCTGAATTATTAGTTTACTGAAAGTCCAGAAGTTAGAAATATTTAATGGTTGTATAAAAAGGCATTTGTTAAAATTTTAGGTCATTCTGAAAATATTTTGATTGCAGTTATTATATATGACCATATATACATATATGGATAATTCAAATGTAATTATGAATATTAATATGAGGTCACTCTGAATTTTGCAGGTGAATTAACATACAGTAAGCATATTAATGAGACACAGAGAGCAGAAACATAGATAAATATATGTGACATTGTGATAGAGAATTGGAGAGTCATATCCACACTCCAGGAAACCAAGAAAAAGCAGCTAGAAGCTAGACAGGTCAAGGAGCCTATCCTAGAAACTCCAGAGATTGTGTTCTGTCAGCACTTCAATTTCACTGGTTCCCTGAAATATGAAAATCATAGCTATATTTTGTTTCTTTATTTTGGTTCTTCTTTATTTTGGTTCTTCTTCTCCATTCATTTTGTGGAGCTTTGTCTTGGCAGCCCAAGAAAACTATTACAGAAATTCTAGCACCTCTCCGTTGTATCTGTTGAACCCTGAATGTATAGCATTAAATCAGCCATGGAAATAATAAACTAATTTGTGTGACTATATCACAATAAAATTTTATTCAAAAAGTTTGAAAAAACTTTGTAACAGGAAAATTCTCACACACTTCTTGTAGGAATATGAATTGGAAAAGGAACTGTGACAAATGGCTTGATCTTTTTTTCTCCAAAATTCTATTCCTGTATTTAGGCAAAAAATTTTATGTAGCTACACCAAAGGATACATTAAAAAATATTCAGAGTAGCAGTATGTTTAATAGTTAAAAATGAAAATCAACTCAAATATTTATAAGAAAGTAGAACCAATAATAAATTCTGGTATATATAGACATATGTATGTATGTATGTATGTGGGCTGGAGTGATAACACAGTAGTAGGGCATTTGCCTTGCACACGGTCAGCCTGACCAACCTGGGTTTAATTTCTCCGACCCTCTCAGAGAGCCTGGCAAGCTACCGAGAGTATCTCGCCCACATGGCAAAGCCTGGCAAGCTACCCATGCCGTATTCATATGCCAAACACAGTAACAAGTCTCACAATGGAGATGTTACTTGACCTGCTTGAGCAAAATCAATGAACAATGGGAGGACAGTGCTACAGTGCTATATATGTATGTGTGCATTATAAGGATATAAAAGTGATGACCAGAAAAGACAATATAAGAAAGTTATCTAAGCAGCTGGAGTGACACTACAGTCGGGAGGGTATTTGCCTTGCATGCAGCTGACCTGGTTTAATTCCCAGTGTTACATATGGTCCACGGAGCACTGCCAGAAGTAATTCCTGAGTGCAAAATCAGGAGTAACCCCTGTGCATCGCCAGGTGTGACCCAAAAAGCGGGAAAAAAAGAAACATATCTAAGTCTGCTTAGATGATGCTATTAAGGTCAGTTAGAGGAGATGATGGTGGAGGAAGAAGATAAAATGGTGGAAGGGAAAAAAGGTATAGTACCTAGGCATACTTATTTAAGGGGTTTGAACATTGAGAACAACTGGCATAAACTGATGAATGGAAAAAGGAATGTTAAGGGCTGAATGATGGTTCAGCATGTGTACTTGGTTTGCACACAGCTGACTCAGGTTCAATCCCTGACATCCCATATGGTCCCCAGAGCCCACCAGGAATGATTCCTTAGTCCAGAGCTAGGAGTATCCCCTGAGCATCACTGGGTGTGGCCAAGACATACACACAGACACACAGAGACACACATACACAACTAAAAAAGGAATAATAGATCAACAAAAGTGATAATATTTATTTAGGCTGATAGAAAATAAAATACCAAATAGTAAAGTTACATAAATTTACTCATAAAGTGTAAAAACAGGAAAAATACTGATGAAGATAGAATTTATAATTACCTTTAGAATGCTGGCTTTTGAAACATGCCTCTGTTGTACCCTTCATCTATCTCAGAGGTTCTCAAATTTATTTGATGTATTGGCTCCCTTTTCAGGGAAAAAAATATTACTTAGTGACTCCATGGTCTACTTTTTTAAAGCAAACAAATAAAAACCTATAGCTCCTCACCCTCCTCCCCAACCACTTTCCATTTCACCTGAGATTATGGAGGTTACTACTGTTCTCTTGATCATTACAGTGGTTGGGAATCGGAAGAGGGAAAGAGAGAATCATCCACACTGAGAAACACTCATATAACCAATTTAACTGTTCTACTAGCAGTACATTGTAGATGCTGGGAGTGGGGGGTTGGGGGGAAATTTTCCTTCAATTTCATTTAGCTATCTAGTTGTTAAGGAAAAAACAATTTCCGTTAAATGTTAAAATAGTATTGTGGACCCACTTTTGTTATATGTCATTATGGTTTACTTAAGTTTGCCGTTTCCAAGGACTTATCAAAGACTTTTAGTGAACACTTAATTTACTGTTGAAATCTGTGCAGTATAAATTTTTACAGAGGTTGAAGCAATTGCACTATACCATGTGACAGATTAAAAAAATCTTCATTCAAGTTAAAATAGAGACACTTTCTTTTCTTTCTTAAAAATATGGAGCGCTTCGTAAATTTGCATGTCATACTCATATAGGGGCCACGCTAATCTTCTCTGTATCTTTCCAATTTTATTATATGTGATGCCAAAGTGAGCACAAATAAAGATACTTCCTAAATACATTTCTTTAAGAATTTCCGGAGAGTTAGTATAGTAGGTAAGGTGCTTGCATTGTAGACAGCTCTTTTTTAAATTATTTATTTGAATTTCTTTTAAATTACAGTTTAGGTACTATGGTTAAATAATGTTAAACTACATAGTATTGTTGTACAAAATTACAGCATTCACCATCTCCACCAAACTGACCTTCTACCATGTCCTTAGCAAATGTACAAGTTGTAAGAAAAAGGTTAGCCCTTATGTAGAAGATCTCCAAATCTTGATAAAGCATGAGGAGAAAAGACAGTGAGAAGTTGTTTTTTCAATATTGTTGTAAATATGAGAATCAATCTTTCTGATAATTTCTAATTGAGAAAGATAATGGTAAGTATTACTTTAAGAAACGTTCTCTGCCTGAACTTCCTCACTGTCAGAGTTGGGTATAAAAACCATCCATGAGACATTTATGAGCTTAGGCAGGGATGCAGACAACTTTTTGAGCTTTAGACCTTGAACTACATGTGGTCCATTAGTACAGTAATCTCTGAGCACAGAGCCCGTAGTAAGCCCCATGCACAGTCTAACACCAGAAATTAAAAAGAAAATCAATAAAGCTTTTATTGATAGTGTTTTGAATACAAATATATTTTAAAAATATCACTGAGTTTGGAATAACATATAACTTTTTAGTTAATATAACTTTTTAAAATAAGTTTTTGAACTTTTCCGGTGGTTGATATTTTTTTTTGAGATAATAAAAATGGAAAGCTTATGAGAAAATTTCAAACTCACAAAGCTCTTTTATTTAGGAAAAAATTAAATCTAAAGTGCACAAATATTAGAATTAATTAGAGAATAGCTCTTACAGCAAAGGTTAATAAGGGGATATGATTGTTGGCATAACTCTGTATTTTTTTCCTAAGCACCATAGTTGAAAATTTCTAGGATTGTAATATGATATTAACTTGTAGTGCTTTCCTTACAGGCTACAAATGCCATCCACTTACTGCTCTAGTCATTTTGTGGATGCTCTCATTGCTGTTTAAACTATCTAAAGTCTTTCACTGTCATAAGCCACTTTATTTAATTCCTTCATCTCAGAAATGAGAATTCTACCGCCTTTATGACATCACAGTGACATGATGATTAATTAGTTAATGTTTGTAAAGTGCTTTGAGGAAGTAAAGTGCTAAATAAGTGTTAAGCACTGTTAAGTATCACAATCAATCAACATAATGTTTTATTGTACAGAATCTCATGTGTTACTTGAAACATGGTGTACCAATTAAGTTAATGTGAGAGTTCTTATAAAATTAGAGCTGTATCACAAAATTAACAAATTTTGTAAAAAATGAAGATGTAATAGAGATGAGAGAAGTATGCCTATTTGTTTAATTACTGTTTAAATTTGTATATTTTTATTTTAATCAAAATTCAGTAAAACTTATTTCTCATTTTCATTTTAGTTTTGCGCATCAAAATACCAAAAATAATCCAGGCCAGAGTTTCCTAAACCATTTTTCTTTTCTTTTCTTTTCTTTTCTTTTTAAATTTTATTGAATCACTGTGAGATAGTTACAAGCTTTCATTTTTGGGTTACAATCACAATGATCAAACACCCATCCCTCCACCAGTGCACATTCCCCACCACCAATACCCCCAGTATACATCCCTTTCCCACCCTCTTCCTACCTCCATGGCAGACAATATTCCCCATAATATCTCTCTACTTTTGGGCATTATGGTTTGCAATACAGAAATGAGAGGTTATTATGTTTGGTCCTTTATCTACTTTCTGCACACATCTCCCATCTCAACCGATTCCTCCAGCCATCATTTTCTTAGTGATCCCTTCTCTATTCCAGCTGCCTTCTCGCTTTTGCTCATGAGGCAGGCTTTCAGCTTCTCAGTTATTTTTCAAAAGTATTTCTTTTGGGCTGGAGCGATAGCACAGCGGGTAGGGCGTTTGCCTTACAAGCGGCCAACATGGCCGACCCAAGTTCGATTCCTCCGTCGCTCTTGGAGAGCCTGGCAAGCTACCGAGAGTATTCGATATGCCAGACACAGTAACAACAAAGTCTCCAATGGAGACGTTACTGGGCCCGCTCGAGCAAATCGACGATCAACGGGAGGGCCTTTACTTACTTACTTTATTTCTTTTGGGGCTGGAGCTATAGCACAGTGGGTAGGGCATTTGCCTTACACATGGCCAACCCAGGTTCGATTCCTCCACCCCTCTTGGAGAGCCTGGTAAGCTACCGAGAGTATCCCCATGCATGACAGAGCCTGGCAAGCTCCTCATGGTGTATTTGATTTGTCAAAAACAGTAACAACAAGTTTCACAATGGAGACGTTATTGGTGCCCGCTCGAGCAAATCGATGAACAATGGGAGGACAGTGCTACAGTGCTACATTTCTTTTTTAAACAGCACTATTAACTCTTTTTAAGAGCTAAAGTCAGAGCTACATTTCATATAACCTGTATCGACATAAAACCTAATAAATAAGTGCATTAATAAATATTACAAATTTATCAAATAAATTTTAGAAAATAAAAGACAACTTTTATAACTTTCTGTCTAATGGGGGGGTTGTCTAAGACTGACAAAAAGAGACTCGATGTAGTTCAGCAGTATTCTATATTTGCCTCATGCTCAGATGAACAGAAAAATAAGGAAAATTATAAAGATAAATTTATTTTATTTTTTATTGTATTATTATTTTTTTCTTTTTGGGTCACACTCAGTTTTGCACAGGGGTTACTCCTGGCTCATGCACTCAGGAATTACTCCTGGAAGTGCCCAGGGGACCATATGGGATGCTGAGAATTGAACCCAGGTTGGCCCAGTGTAAGACAAATGCCCTACCCACTGTACTATCGCTCCAGCCCCTCGTTTTAAGTTTTTAAGAATACCAGAAGATTTGCAAAAGAGGCATTGAGTGGCAATCATGTTTGGTCTATAGTCTACTTTCAGCATGCTTCTCCCATCCTGGGAGGATCCTCCCAACACCCTTTATTTGGTGCTCCCTTCTTTATCTGAGCTGCCATTCCCCCTAGCATGTGTGGCTGACCTCCAAGCCATGGAGCAAAATACCTGGTACTAGTCTTAGCCATTCTTGGGTGTTAGTCTCCTATTTTTTTACTTTATGTTCTTCAGATGAATGCAATCTTTCTATGTCTATCCCTCTCTTTCTGACTCATTTCACTTAACATGATACTGTCCATGTAGTACCACTTGTATGTAAGAGAACAAAGGGGAATGCCCTGCTACAGAGGCAGGGTGGGATGGGGGGCATGGACGGTGGGAGGGATACTGGGATTCACGGTGGTGGGAAATGGGCATTGGTGGAGGTATGGGTATTTGATCATTGTATAATTTAAACCCAAGCACAAAATTTGTAAGTCTACAACTGTACCTCATGGTGTCTCATTAATAAAAATTTTTTTAAAAAGTCATGTAAGGAATAAAATTTGGTGGTAATGATGTTGATAAAAAAAATACTAGAAGATGTTTGTATAGGTGTAGGAATGTTAAATATATTTACCCACAGTTAAAGAAACAATGAGCAAACAATAGTTATAAAATAGTTCTGTTTTAAAAATAATTAACTTTTATTTTTAAAAATTATCTGAAAGAAGGCTGGAGAGAGTGCAGGAGTTAAGAGAATACAGGGTTAAGGCATTTGCATGCTACCAACCCAGATTTGATCCCTGACACTACAAGAAATGATCCCTGAATTTAGAGCCAGGGGTAGGCCCTGAGCAATTCTGGATGTGGCCCCAACAACACACACACACACACACACACACACATACCCACACACAACTCCCTTAAATTGAGCTGATATAATTACATGAAAATATATTGCACTCTTTAATCACTATGATTTCACTTCTTTAGCAAAAAAATTAAAGTATATATAATAGACATAACAAAAATGCAGATACGAACTTTTATATACATGTACTTTAGATGATTTCTCATGCTCTTTTAGACCTAAGGAAATTCCTTTTTTTGATGTGTAGACATCAGTACTTGAATGCGATTGAGAACAGCAAAGGTTTGAATTAGGTAACCGACGTTGTAAAAACAAACCATACTTAAAAAAAATATATAGACTCCAGAATCTTCACTCATTCTGGAAATTCTTTTCCTCTGGATTCCCTGAGTAATGTTGTGGATGAGAACAAGGAGTTCAAATGTGTGCTGCGGAGCTGTCTGGGGCACAGTTGCACAGTTTCACTGTCTGTTCCTTAAGGGGCCTTTGCCTGCTCTTTTCTGTCTTTTTTGAGTGAGGACCTGAGCATAGGTTTCAGGATGAAGCAGACCTGTTCTGGGGTCAGTGTCTGGCTTTGTATCTTTCGAACTGTCTCACTTTGAGCAGATCTTTTCTCTGATCATTTTCAGCTCTAGTAACTCCAAATATAAGCTTTTAGATATTCTAAGGAAAAAAGAATATCCAAAAATACGAGTATGAGAAATAGAAACAGATATTAGCAAAAATATCCAAAATGTGGTCTCTAGGGTTCTAGAATAACTAATGTGTTTGGTATGTTCTTTGACATTAATTGTGCCATTTAAAACTCTCCACTTATCTTTATCACTCTGGTGTAAAATTAATTTTATAAGAATTTGATCTTTTTTTTTCTTGGTTATCATGCATTATCAATTAGACAAGGCCAGTTTACATAATATCCTCTCTTTGCCACCAATTTTGCTGACTAAAATAAACTCAGCATAGTATCTGTTACTGACATAGGACTCATTTGTCACTGGTGAATGCACATTATGTCCTCCACCGTGGCAGTGACTTTATCCACACTTCCTTGGGGAACCAGAGTATATCACTTATGATGCTTGGTGAGATCATAAAGCTATTTATAATGTGTAACATAACCATTAATAGCTTAAATATTTATAACCATATTTAATAGCTACATTTTACTGGTACAACTGAACACACACACACACAAAGAGAAAATGGATTTCTTTCCCCT